GAAGTGGGTATGGGATTGTATGGTCTTAAAGGCTTAGCCTCAACCAGAAAGCTACAAGTCAGCGAGAAGTAGGGAGCAGTTTCACCTCCGGGAGCTGCGGTGTTCATAGAAGCATCATTTTATAAAAGTAGGAGAAAGAGGAGGACGTGGGGGCAGTGAGTCTTGAGGACAGGTTCTGGGACAACCGGCAAAGGAATATACCCGCAGCGTCTGGGGGAAGGAGAAGGCTCAGGGCCCCTCCCGGTTCAACGATCCCTCTAACCTACAGCCACTCGCAAGAACCGCCCTTTCTGCTCGCACCTCTTCGCACGACTCCCGCTCGACGGAGCACGGTGAGGGAACTTCTCTAAGCACCGCCTCTCCTTGCAACCTGTAATGGCCTAAACTGCCCGGCAACTGTTTACGTCACACGACCATGGCCCTCCCAGAATGGACGAGATTTACTAGACAACCCCGCCCACTAGGCTGAAATTACCCGCGGCAGGTGCCACTTCTGAGCCCGGTGAGCTCTGGGGGAAAGGACCCAGGCGGGGCGGGGCAGGTGGTAAACAGAGCTCAGCGCCTGGCGCGCTTGCACTTCCTCTAGTTGCGCTCGCCCTCCATCTTCCACCTCAGAAAGGCCACCGCTCCGAGTTGCAACTGCTAGTGCTTGGAGGGCGCTGTATCCCACTCTGACTCATCCTTGGGGGCGGACGTGGGAGCATGGGGAAGTGGAGGGGCAACCATAGGAAACAGAAAACTTAAGGGAGGATATGGCATATTTAGGACTGTGACGTGTGCAAATGCTGGTGAGCCATTTGGTGCACTGAAAACAGGAGAGACCACAGTTATAAAACACCACCTTTATTATAAATACCAAGAATCCAGAGTGTGTTTATGGGCCAGCATATGCCTTTAGTCCTATTGGAAAGTATTCTTTCTGTATGTTCTAAAGTTCTTCTCATTTTCAGGGTTCTATCCACAACAAACCTGGCTCTAAACCCAGTTACACTAAGGGGTTATGAACTCTGTTTTCTTCCAAGAAATCTGCATTATCAAGAGGAGCTTGGAGACGGGGTAACACTCGTGGCAGAATTTCAGGCATCGTTCTAGGATGTCACTCCTCCTAGAAGCAGCTGTCTATTGTGCAGCTCTGGTAACACCTTTGTTCCCAAATTCTCCACTACAGAGGGCAGAAAAACAAGGGAGGGAGGTGGCGTGTGCAGGTCTGAGAAGGCTTTCATTCTGGAGCACCTGACCCGTCAGCAGCCTGCATCATGTCCCAGTAGCGTCCGTTCCTCTCCATGAGCTGCTGGTGGGTTCCTGCTTCACAGATGGTGCCTCCTTCCAGAAAAAGGATTTGGTCAGCCTGCTCCACCAAGCTGAGACACTGGGTGATGAGAAGCACAGACCTAGAGCCCCGCTCAGGGCTTTTGTACAGGAGCTGCTCCACCTGAGAAAAGACACAGACTCTGTCAAGAACCCAGGGAGACACCTGTGTTTCCAGAGCAGGGGCAGATCTCACCAAGATCACTGCCATCTCTGCCAACAACCCCAAGGAGCTGAAGATTCTTGTTCTGAGTGCTTCTCTGTCCCGCCTTTGATTTGTTAAGGACTGTTTACATGAGGTGGCGACAGCAAAATAAAAGTCAGAGTCCTGTGGTGAAACCCATAAGGGAAGAGTAAAGGGTATCAAAAAGTCTCTCCACTCTACCTATAAACTGGGGATTTTCTATTCTGTTTTAAAGAAATATAACTTAGTGGTAAAAAGCATGAGCATTCAGGTCAGGCAGGCTTGCCTTTGGGTCTACGTTCCACTATTCAACAGCTCTAAGACAGTGAGCAGGCTACTCAACCTCTCTTAGCCTCCATTTTATCGTCTGTAGAACGAGGATAACAACACCCAGCTCACAGGCATTTATGATTAGTAAATGAGTGAGACAGTACATGGAGAGAGCCTAGTAGCATGTCTGGCACATAGTAAAAGAGTAAAAGCTCAATTGATATTAATATTGTTAGGATGGTCTTCTTATGTTTGGCTTCAGAGATTCAGAGTCTGTAGATAGTCTCTTTGAATTGGTTCTAAGCATCTTGGGGAGCAGCTGTTGGGAACTGAGAATTCCAAGGATTGGTTTGGATAATTATGTTAGTACACCTCACACAGGACGAATGAAGGAGGGAAGATTGGGTGGGATATAGCCACTAACAAAATGTCTCTCTCACCCGTAACTGGCTATTTGCATCAAGGGCACTGGTAGCATCATCCAAGATGAGTACACGTGGTTTCCGGATCAGTGCTCGAGCCAAGGCCACTGCCTGTCGCTGACCCCCTGATAGCTGGCTCCCAGCCTCGCCTACCTCTGCAGAAATAAGAGCCCAGGTGAGGCCTGGACAACCACATGTGCGTCCACGTGCTTGCGTGCGGGTGCGCACACGCATGCACACACACACACACACACACACACACACACACACACACACCCCAAGGACTGGATGCATTCACTTTCCTTCTGGGAAGGTGAAGAAGTTCGGAAGATGTGAGGATGAGGAAGCCATAGGAACAAGATCCAACAACTTCAGACTGATCTCAGTGGGTTGGGAAGAATGCTGAATAAAGGTTTCAGTAAAGATGTCTGGGTAATGACACGAGCTAAGAGAGCACCTGTGTTATAGCCCTGAGGGAGTTCAGAGATGAAGCGATGGGCTCCAGACTCCATTGCAGCAGCTATGACTTCCTCCATAGTTGGCTTCTGGACCAGGCCATAGGCAATATTTTCTCGAAAACTCCTTCCAAATAGCTGTGGCTCTTGTCCCACTGCAGCCACCTGGGACAAAATATGATGAAGAGGCATAGAACAAGGAACAGAGGAGTATGGTTATCCAGAGACTGATGACTCAAAATCTTTACTGAAAGCATATCACAAAATTCCACACCACAGCCTCTCTCCTGACTACACGCCATCTCCACTCAAGGTCCATCACTCCTTAGCCCTCCCTTCAGAGTGCTTGGTGACAGTGTTCGTTGAGAGTTCTTCTTACTCAATGCCCCCTGCCCTCCCCCATGCCATCTTCTTGCTCACCCGTGTGTGCAGGTAGCAATGCTCATATTGGGGAAGGGGCTTCCCATCCAGCAGCAGCTGCCCCGTTGTGGGCTGGTAGAGATTCTGGAGCAGGGCAGCCACAGTGCTCTTCCCAGACCCATTGGGCCCCACCAGAGCCATCACCTGACCAGGATGCAGGGTGAATGTCAGCCCCTGGAGGCCAGAGAATCAAAAAAGAAAAGAGGCAGACTAAGGCCTTGAGTCTGTCATTGTCTTGTTACATAGCATGATGTCTTACCCCAGAGAAGAAAGGGAGAAAAAATTGGGAAATACAGCCACTCCTACCCTCCCATAGGCATAGACCTCTGTTCCTCAGGGATGACAGCTCCCCAAGGAGTAGAGATGGAAGGTGAGGCAAAAACCAGAGCAAAGACCAAG